CCGGGGCATGTCACGGGGTTGGGGGGGCTAAAGAAGGAATAGCATTAGGAGAAATACCTAATGTAGATGACAGGTTGATGGGTGCAACAAACCACCATGGCATGTATATATCTATGTAACAAACCTGCACATTCTGCACATGTATCTCGGTACTTAAAGTATAACAAAAAAAAAAGAAAGCCGGGTGCAGTGGCTCACGCCTGTAATCCCAGCACTTTGGGAGGCCAAGGCGGGTGGATCACGAGGTCAAGAGATCGAGATCATCCTGGTCAACATGATGAAACCTTGTCTCTACTAAAAATACAAAAAATTAGCTGGGCACGGTGGTGCGTGCCTGTAATCCCAGCTACTCAGGAGGCTGAGGCAGGAGAATTGCCTGAACCCAGGAGGCGGAGGTCATGGTGAGCCAAGACCGCACCATTGCACTCCAGCCTGGGTAACAAGAGCGAAACTCCGTCTCAAAAAAAAAAAAAAAGAAAAGAAAAAAGTTCTAGAATTATGATAGTGGTGATGGCTGAAAAACTGCTGATAAACTGAAAACCATTGGATTGTACAACTTTAAATGGGTGAACTGTACAGTATATGAATTATATTTCAATAAAACTTTTGCCAACAAAAGAAGGGGAGGAGGGAGGTAGTATCTTTTCCCCCTCCTATCGAAAGTAGCTGGCCTTGACACTTGTTTTGAACACTGGAATAAGGGGTAAGTGATGCTGTGCCAGTTCTGGGCCTAGCCCAAAATCCTGGCAGCTTCCATTTTCACTCTGTTGGAAGCTAGTTGTTATGTAGAGCAGCTCAGGCTAGACCACCCAATGATGAGAGACTGTGTGCTGGGAGAGACCTCATGGAGGCAAACCAAGACACCCTCGTCATGTGAGTAAGGTCATCTTGGATAGCTTACACCCAACCAGGCTGACAGCTGAATTAAGTAACATGAGTGACCCCAGGAGAGATCACACGAAGCAAGAAGACATTCCCAGCCAACTCAGAGAATCATGAGAAATAATAAATCATTGTTGTTTTAAGCCAGTGAGTTGGGAATGATATGTTGCACAACAGATAACTTAGACACAACCTTTCTGAGCCTCAGATTCCACTTCCATAACATGGGACTGATACTATGCGGTTGTTGTGAAGATTACATAAAGCTAACACCAAGCATGGTGCTCAAGAAACACTAGTTGTTATTCTTAAAAACCACCCAGGAGATCCTTGACATAATCTGCAGGTATACTCTTCTGGAAGGCCTTACTCCCACAAGCACTTGCTGCTTCCAATCACATGGCTTCCAAAAGTTTAGCTTTTTACAAAAACAAATGGTTGGCTTTTTTTTTTTTTTTTTTTTTGCTACAATCTCTGACACATGAATTCTGAATCATAAACAGATGATCAAGGAAGGTTCTGTTTAGGTTAGCCATCTACCCACCCTACCCATCCTACCCATCCATTCATCACACCTGTTTTTTTGGAGATGGAGTCTTGCTCTGTCACCCGAGCTGGAGTGCAGTGGAGCAATCTGGGCTCATTGCAACCTCTGCCTCCTGGGTTCAAGTAATTCTCCTGCCTCAGCCTCCTGAGTAGCTGGGACTACAGGTGCACACCACCACACCTGGCTAAGTTTCTGTATTTTAGTAGAGATGAGGTTTCACTGTGTTGCCCAGGCTGGTCTTGAACTCCTTAGCTCAGGCAATTGGCCCACCTAGGCCTCCCAAAGTGCTGGGATTACAGGCCTGAGCCACTGTGCCTGGCCCCATCACCCCTTTCTTAAACCCTAATTACCAGACACAAATTAAGGATAAAGGAGATCCTCCCTCCTTTGAAAAAGAAATCATTTCTACCTATGTAGTCATTAAAATAATACACTACACACTTGAACTTGAGTGGAGAGAGAATATCTATAGTAGTAGATAAATCTAAAATCATCCAGCTGGAAAGAAAAAGCTGAAATTTCCATATAGAGCTCAGATACTCAGCATGAGAACACATAATTCTGACTGGGAATCCCACAAGTAATAGCAGAGCAAGGAATGAACTGCATCCCCTAAAGGCTTCGTCCCTCAGTGAGCCTACATCCTTCCAAGAGTTCCATTCACAGAACCTGGACCCCAGATGACAAAACTTAACCATTTAGCACTACCTGCTATGTTTAGGTACACAATGGATCTGGGCAGTTAACAATTCACAAGCTAATGACAGAGAAAGAAATTCCTAGGTATATCTGTAGGAAAGGATATTAAACAGCTTTCAACTGCATTTGTGAAATCAATTATGATTGGTAACACTGAATGAACTGAAGAGCCATTTAACCCTAAAAAGAATGAAGAAATTATTTTTCATCCAAAAGGCTGACATCAATACTTAAATTACATGAAAGGTAAGACAGATGATCAAATCTGTATTTTCTGCACAAACAGTGGACAAAGTCCACTGAACCTAGGAAGTACTTATGCTAAACAAACTCAATAAAGTTCTAAACTCTTCAAATGCTAGTTAGAGAGTCGGTATACACAATATTGACCTAGAAATGAACAGGAAGCATGAGGGCTAGAGGTGAAAGACCTAACACCAGGCAGGCATTGGGCTGAGTCTACCAGATAACTCAAATGCTTGGCTATGTTTTTCCATTGACATATAGTGTATAGCAAAGTACACAAGTCATAACTATCTTAAAGAATGTTTATATCAAGATTAAGATATAGAACATTCCTAACACTCCAGAAGGTTCCTTTGTTCCCATCCCAGTGAATAACCAGTCCTACCCTAGTTTCCCGACTCCACAGCCAAGAGTAACCATTATTTTGATCTCTGGCATTACAGATACTTTTTGTCTGTTTTTGAATTTCACATAAATGGAATCATACCATATGTAGTATTTTCTGCTTTCTTCCATTCATCACAAGGTTACCTTATTTTGAAGCAGAAAGCCCAGAAGCTGAGGTTTATTTTTAGAAAAACTTTCTCTGATGTCACAGGCCTGACATTACTCAGTGTAATCAACTACTCTGATTACACTGGTTATTACTTTCTGCCCTATTCCGAGCATGCATTATAAAAACTGTTACAACAGAATACAGTCTTGGATTGCAAAAGTTTTCTTTCAGATAAACTAAATTCTTTAAAGGTATTCAAATATTCGATTCAAGCTTAACAAAGTATAAGCTTTGACACTGTGGAAGTATAATCTTTTCCACCAGGCATGGTGGCTCATGCCTGTAATCCCAGCGTTTTGGGAGGCCAAGGCAGGTGGATCATGAGGTCAGGAGATTGAGACCATCCTGGCCAATATGGTGAAACCCTGTCTCTACTAAAAATATTTTAAAAAATTAGCTGGGCATGGTGTCGCACACCTGTAGTCTCAGCTACTCCGGAGGTTGAGGCAGGAGAATTGCTTGAACCCACTGTACTACAGCCTGGGAGAGAGTGTGAGACTCTGTCTCAAAAAAAAAAAAAAAAAAAAAAAAAGTCTAATCTTTTCCATGAATGCAAAATTCTTATTCTAGAGAATCTTCAAGTCATAAAATAAAATTAACCATCAATTCTGTTATTACTTTGATTAGTAAAGAATTAAATGATAGGAAAATCTCTCAGAGGAAGCATAATGCAGTACATTCAGATGAATGTGAGTCAGCTCAGAAAAGGCAGGAGAGGCACAACAGTTAGAGCAATAAATTATAGGTACAGATTTTGAGGCCAAACTATCAGGATTCTAATCTGGAAAGTGCTCCTTCTAGCTGGATGACCTCGGGGAAGTCATTACTCTAACTTTGTACCTCTATAACATCACTATAAAATGTGAATAACTTCATAGGATTGTTGCAAGGATTAAATGTTAATGTATATAAAGCTCTTAAGACACGATGTGACACAAAATGAACACTTTTTTTTTGAGATGGAGTCTTGCTCCATTGCCCAGGCTGGAGTGCAGTGGTGTGATCTCAGCTCACTGCAACCTCTGCCTCCCAGGTTCAAGCCATTCTCCTCCCTCAGCCTCCCAAGTAACTGGGACTACAGACACATACAACCATGCCTGGCTAATTTTTGTACTTTTAGTAGAGATGGGGTTTCACCATGTTGGCCAGGCTAGTCTGAACTCCTGACCTCAAGTGATCCACCTACCTTGGCCTCCCAAAGGTGGGATTACAGGTGTGAGCCACTATGCCTGGCCATAATAAGCACTTTTTAAGAAATAGCTATCTTAAAAAGCTGAAAGAGCTATTAAGAAGGCAGCTATTCTGCCAACCAAAGGGCTATAAAATAGTGACCAAGACATCTGGCACAGTGCTTCTCAAGATATTTTATTTTTAATCCTTCACAGACTGATACTTTCTGTAAAATGCAAGATTACATGCTTGGATGTCACAGCAATACCAAATTGTTCTGAAAGTTTCTAAATGTTTACTCTCACTTTCTGCATTTATTATATAGTCCATAACTGTTTGCTGTTCATTGGCAGGCATTTGTCTGCAGACTGAACTTTGAGTAGCACTGTTCCAGCACCCAAGAAGGACTCAAGAGCCTCCTGAAAACTCAACTGGCAGGTTAAATAGAATTATGATAACATTTAGTTAAAAAAAAAAAACAAAAAACAAACCCAGTAGCAGGGGCAAGAAGATGACTTGAGGGTCAACAAGCAGACAGATAAAATAAAGTCAAGAGGTTAATTACTAAACCTAAAATACAAAGTTGGCTGTAGAGCAAAGACCCAACTGGTAATTCCCTCCCCACCCCTCAGTGTTCTAGAGGGTGGCCCTCGGGAAACATACTGGCCAGGTTATCAGCCCCAGAGGGGACAAGAGGTGTGAATGTAGTAGGCAGAGCTGACTTGGGGCCTCTTCTCAGGAGTAAAAAGCCACCTTAAGCCATCATCAAGCTTTGGGGACATCAAGCACAAGTTGCAAAGGCCGGAAAGAGTTTCTTCTCTGCCAAAGAAAACATGCAAACATTTCCTCTGGTGACACGGGACTGCACACATGCACACCAACATATTCACAGACACACACCTGTGGTTTTAGGAGGCTCCTGAGGTCCGCCCTGCCAGCCGTACTGTGGGTATCCTTGGTAGGGGTACCCTTGAGGAGGTGGGTAGGGTCCCCCCATAGGTCCTGGACCCATTGGTTGTGGTGGATAAGGTGGGTATGGGGCCGTTGGACCAGGGCCCGGATATGGTGGAGGGTTCTCTGGGTTCATCGGGGACCTGTAAAGTACACCTAAGAGACAAAAAGAATGAAAATCATTTGCATCAGGAATCATCAGGAATAAAATTCTAACCCATAAGATCATTTACACAATACCTTAAAGGTGTATCAAGCCTTGTGCAGATCTCTAGCTCTGCCCATTTTGTTTCCTTCTCACCATCACTACAATTGACAATTATTTTATGTATTTATTTGCCTTTTGCCTTTTTGCCCCACTAGACTGTAGGTTGTGACAGCAGAAATCAAGTTAGTTTTGGATCACTACCATGTCCCTAGAGCACCACACAGTGCCTGGCACAAGCACCCTAAATAAATGTGTTAAAGGAGTAACAAGATATTTTGTTTTTTAAATCCTCTGAAACGTCCATAAATGTGATTGCATAGCTTTAAGAAAGTGTTCTAACAGCACTATGAGCCATATCAGTGGAAGCTGAACCACTAGTAGAAACTCTCCAATCAACAGGGTTGAGCCACAGTGGGGTCTTCTAACAAGCAGCATTGCCAGCAATGACCAACCAAAGTTTGTAATCACCACTGTTGCTCTGGGGATTGGGGTGATCTGGTTGTTCTCCCTAGACCTGCTGCTCTGGGCAGTTGGACAGTGCTGTCTATAGAGAATGCCAACTGTCTCCTCTGCCTATCCAGGTCCCTGAGACTCTGGAGGGTTCACCAGGAACCCTTATTTGTGTTTACAGGACCCTGTCCTCGGTGGTTTGCTTCTGTGAGGGAAGCCACGCTTCCCAGCCCTCAAGCCTGTCAATCATTCTCTTGATTGGGCTTGAAGTTTCCAGGACCAGCATCTTGTTTCTTTTATCTCTTTAACCTCCACAGTGCCTGGCACAGTGACTTTCAGATTTAAAACCAACAATTACTGGGGAATGCAAAGTATATACTCTATGGATGACTCACTTAAACGTGATATCATCTGTCATACTGCTTCCTTGCACTGTTACCCATATCTTATATCGATAGTTAACTTTTTACCTATTTGAGTGTTTTCTATCACCAACCAAATAGTAGGGAAGAGTTTCGGATTTAAAATGCAATAATATCACTATTAATTCTTTTCCATAACATGCAACCAATAAATTCCTAAGTGACTTTTATTATATAAGGGATGGAATAGTCATAAATAGTCTAGGTTTGCTAGAAAATCTGGGCTACAGTAGTGGTGGATTTTATTGGTTGCCAACACAACACCCATATTCTCCCCTCCCAACAGTAGTCAGGTTTCCAGGTAGGTGTCTACTCATTCTTCTTGTAGTTCATATGCTTCAGAGAAAGCTCATCCCATCTAGCTGCAGGGTGAACCTAGTCTATCTAAGCCAATAGGAGTCATTCTCTTTCCTTTTTCATCATAATTGATTCAAGAAATTCATGACTTAACCCAGATGCAAATGACACTCCCTGGCCACTGAGACTGGTTCTGAAGTGGTTCAATAAGTAAAAAGCTCAGACTCTCTTAACACACTCCCACCCAACCTTCCCTTCCCCTGTACACAGGGACACACAAAGTCTAGGAAAGATATATGGCCTACAAAATTGCTGACAGCCAATCTGCAGCCCTGAGAAGGAGCCAGCTTTAAGATTAAGTGGGCCATTCAGAAAGGTAGAGCAAAAAAGAAAGAAATGGGATTCAAGATGACTTTTTAACAGCTCATAAATCAAAGACTGAAGCCTGGCCTAACCTAAGCTACCACTGTAGAATTTCCAGTCCTGGAAACCAATGGTAAGGTAAGGTAATGAGCACTTCTGGGTGACATTCACAAACATACATTTATTAAGTGCTTTCTTGACACTGGACTAAGTAGTGGGATATAGAGATCAATATGCCTCAAACCCTACCCTTGGGCAACTGGTTGAAACAAACGTAAGGACAATAATTTTTTAGAAAATGTGGTAAACAGACTGATGGGTAGGAGTAGGGACTTAAACCTAGTAGAAGGAGATGCTGGTGGAGAGTGTCATTTAAAGGAGTTGATTATAAATTGAAACTCGGAGAGAGAAGATGGTGCTGTAGGACCAACTCAGGATTGCAGCTCCCAGTGAAACCACAGATGGTGAATGCACGCTGCATTTCCAGACAGATCTCTGTTGCCCACAGACCAGGAGATTCCCAGGTGTAGGAGCCGCACGGGCCACCAGCACGGCTGTTTGGGCTGGGGCCGCAGCGCAGCAGCACTCCGTACAAAATTCACTGGTTTGGTTGCCCTGTTAAACTGGCAATTGGAGATTTCGGAAGGCAGATTAGCACATTCATCTGATTAAACGGGACTTAAACAGAAAGCCAGGCAAGGAGATTCCCAGGCAGCAATGTGGTTCCAGCCAGCGCAGTGGGTCACTGCACGGGAAATCACACAGATCCCGGCGCCCTTTCAGCAGGCGACTGGAACACCTGGGAGAGTCAACTGTTCAACTTAAAAAAAAAAAAGGCGGGGGGCTTTGAGGAAGGGAGCCAGATGATCAGGCTCAGCGGGTCCCACCCCCACAAAAACAAAAAAAACAGCAATTGGAAACGCTCGGTGTTGAGAGTTTCACAGCAAGCACAGCTGAACCCAGGACGGTGCTCAGAGCGGGAGGGGCGTCCGCCATTACCGAGGCACTCAACCCCTACGGAGGTACACTGCCATTGCTGACGCAGCCTGCCATTGCCAAGGCAACCCGCCATAACAGAGAGAGTCCACCACTACAGAGGTGGGCCATCATCACCACAGCAGCTCTAACCACACCCATATAAACAGGACTACAGGGAATTACACACGGCAGCAGGGCAGAGCCCATGGCAGCAGGGCGGAACCCACAACACCTCAGCATAACCACTATAGGCAGGCAGTGATTAGACTGCCTCCTTGCTGGGCAGGACAGTGCAATGGATACTCATAAATAAAGCCCTAACTCCCCGGGACAGAGCATCTGAGGAAAAAAAGGGGCTTTATGAGTTCTGCTGCAGCAGACTTAAATGTACCTGCCTAGCAGCCCTGAAAGAACAACAGAGCTCACAGCTCAGCACTTGAGCTCCTATAAAGTACAGACTGTCTCCTCAAGTATAAAGTACAGTCTCCTCAAGCAGCTCCCTGACCCCCGCATATCCAAAGAGTCACCTCACAAAGGACTGATCAGACTGACATTTGGCGGGCATCATTCAGCGACAAAGACAGCAGAAGAAGAAATGGGTAGCAACCCTCATGGTTCTGCAGCTGCTACAGGTGTACCCCAGGTAAGCAGGGCCTGGAGTGGACCTCAGTAGTCCTACAGCAGAGGGGCCAGACTGTTAGAAGGAAAACTAAGAAACAGAAATACTTCATCATCAACAATCTGGATGTCCACTCAGAGACCCAATCAGAAAATCAACAACTACTCAGTCGACAGGTGGATAAATCCACAAAGATGGGAAGAAGCCAGTGCAGAATGGAGGAAAACACCCAAAACCAGAACACCTTGCCTCCCACAAGGGACCACAACTCCTCACCAGCAAGGGAACAAAGCTGGACAAAGAATGAGTGTGATGAAATGACAGAATCGGACTTCAGAAGGCGGGTAATGAGAAACTTCCGTGAGCTAAAAGAACATGTTCTAACTCAATGCAAAGAAACTAAGAACCTTGAAAAAAGATTTGAGGAAATGATAACAAGAATGAACAACTTAAAGAGGAATATGAGTGAATTGAAGGAGCTGAAAAACACAACACGAGAACTTCGCGAAGCATGCACAAGTTTCAACAACTGAATTAACCAAGCAAAAGAAAGGATATCAGAAGTCGAAGATCAACTCAATGAAGTAAAAAGAAAAGCCAAGATTAGAGAAAAAAGCACAAAAAGGAATGAACAAAGTCTCCAAGAAATGTGGGACTATGTGAAGAGACCCAATCTACGTTTGATAGGTGTACCTGAATGTGACAAAGAGAATGAATCCAAGCTGGAAAATACTCTTCAGGATATTATCCAGGAAAATTTCCCCAACCTAGCAAGGTAGGCCAATATTCAAGTCCAGGAAATACAGAGAATACCACAAAGATATTCCGCAAGAAGAGCAACCCCAAGGCACATAATCGTCAGATTCACCAGGGTTGAAATGAAGAAGAAAATGCTAAGGGCAGCCAGAGAGAAAGGTCGGGTCACCACAAAGGTGGTCACCCACAAAGGGAAGCCCATCAGACTCACAGCAGGTCTCTTGGCAGAAACCCTACAAGCCAGAAGAGAATGGGGGCCAATATTCAACATCCTTAAAGAAAAGAACTTTCAACCCAGAATTTCATATCCAGCCAAACTGAGCTTCAGAAGTGAAGGAAAAATAAAATCCTTTGCGAACAAGCAAGTACTCAGAGATTTTGTCACCACCAGACCTGCTTTACAAGAGCTCCTGAAAGAGGTACGACACATAGAAAGGAACAACCAGTACCAGCCATTCCAAAAACATACCAAATGCTAAAGAGCATCAACAAAATGAAGAATCTGCATCAACTAACAGGCAAAACAGTCAGCTAGCATCAAAATGGCAGTATCAAATTCACACATAACAATATTAACCCTAAATGTAAATGGGCTAAATGCACCAATCAAAAGACACAGACTGGCAAATTGGATAAAAAGCCAAAACCCATCATTGTGCTGTATCCAGGAACCCATCTCACATGCAAGGATACATAAAGCCTCAAAATAAAGGGATGGAGGAAGATTTACCAAGCAAATGGAGAGCAAAAAAAAAAGCAGGAGTTGCAATTCTCGTCTCTGATAAAATAGACTTTAAAGCAACAAAGATCAAAAGAGACAAAGAAGGACATTACATAATGGTAAAAAGATCGATAAAACAAGAAGAGCTAACAATCCTAAATATATATGGACCCAGTACAGGAGCACCCAGATACATAAGGCAAGTTCTTAATGACTTACAAAGAGACTTAGACTCCCACACAACAATAGTGGGAGACTTTAACACTCCACTGTCAGTATTAGATAGATCAACCAGACAGAAAATTAACAAGGATATCCAGGACTTGAACTCAGACCTGGAAC